CAAGCATAACCTGTTGCCTTTCTAAAACCATTTTCTATATTTATAATATAATATACACTTGTTCCTTGTAATATACGTATACGTATGTATTGATGATAAAGTACATACAAAGCATATTTTCAAATTAATATAGCCACTCAAGGCGCGCGATAATTAAAATGCATGCATGGCTTTCGATACAGCCGGTATTTGGGGTATTTGTTATACGAAATACAAAAAACTGCATTGAAAAATGGGACTTAGTCTATGACAATGCTATAATGAAAGATTTTGGTTTGGTTGTATCCCTGTAGTTCATATATAATCACCGTGCTAAACATAGCATAGAAAAATAACTTAATTGGCAAATTTAGCCCATGCATGCATGCAGCCGGAGGCTATAACCAAACACAATTTTTCCCATTTTTTGTTTAGGTTCACAGTTTCCTTTTTATTCCTTGTATACGGTGACCACAGCGTTAAAATTACAGAAAGTGAACACATAATACCTTTCTTCCACGTCGAATGTTTCCAAACCGTCTTGGTCTTCTTTTTGCTTAATTATTGTTCTGACAGTGCTCTAAATTGATTATTGCACGATTAATAATAAAATGGATTATGATAGTCACGCAATTTTTTAATCCCATATCATATCATGCGCTTGTTCGTCAATGCCGAAATGTTTCATTTTATTTTCGTTCAAGTTTCAAGCCAAAATTAGTGAGCTTTGGCATGTTTTCTTTGTGATTATTGGTATGAAATTCATTCCATTCGGTACCGGACAGACAAGCCGCTCTTAAATTTACATAATCTATGATTGTATGTTGTATAATGATACAGCACAGTTTATACATATGTAGCTAATGCTCCCTTTTAATCATGAAACACGACGTATTCGATACAAATTCAAATTTCACGTGATGCATGATATATTCAAGATATATTCAATTCAAATTTCACGTGATGAATGATATATTCAAGATATATTCAATTCAAATTTCACCTGAGGCATGCATGTGACAAGAATTTTTTTGACATGCAAACTTTGCATGCCGGATAATAGCCACTTTTAAAGAGAGTTATTTTTAAAATAAAACCCAACCTTTATATCAGCAGGTACTTTAGCTTTGCGACTCCGCTTCACACTTGTATTGTTCTTTTCCTCAAACTGTTTGAGGCGCTGTTCAATAGCCACCACTGATTTAGACAGGCCTCCCAAAGTATCGCGCATACGATCATTCTCCTCTTTTTGTTTGTCCAACTTCTGTTAAAAAAAGAAAGCACACACCCGTGGATTAACAAAACCAGGTTTTAGTCTATATATATATATATTAATAATTATTGTACAATATTTTACTTATATCCTATACATACCTCATTCATTGCCATTTGCTGCTCCAAGATCCCTCGAAAAATGACCGACATTTCGCTCTCCTTAACAGAATCATCAGGAACTATTGATTCATCGTCTGTATGCTCATTTGAAATAGATTCATTGCCAATTGAATCATGATCAGACTGTTCGCTTGACTGATCCGACATTATTTTAAAGGCAAACCGGTTTAGCACTGAGCAGTTTTTTCAAACCTTTAGCGCGATGTAAGCAACACTCAACTGAAGCGATTTCAAATGTGTTTGTGACTTTGTGTAACGAAATAAATTTGCCGTAGGCAGGGCGGTGTGCCAGCTTTTATCATTTATCACTTCCAACAGTATAGCTATGTCCTATATAGTCATATAATCTGCTCGTACAAAACTGTCGCAGAAATATATGAATTTCATAGACATAAAAGTTTTTAAAAACCTTCACAGGTGGGTTATATGCACCTGAGTTTGTATGTTTTAAGCCTTTTATATATATATATATATATATATATATATATATATATATATATATATATATATATATATATATATATATTCATTAAAGCGACATGCCTTTATCCGTGCATTCATGCTAATTGATATACAAACATGCGGATATTCTGGGTTGCAACGAACCACCTGTCGGATGTCGAGGTTTGGAGACTGACCAAAAATACCACTTAAAACAAGGGCGATATTTTTGTCATCGCTGCCTCCCTATACATGCATGCACGCATGTTCTTATAATTATAATAGTGACAAGTGTATATGCATGTTTTCATATCTAAATTGTACACCGTTAAGAAATGGGTAAAGTATGTGTAATATACTCAAAATCACCTAACCGAACTTTGCATAAAACCGAACTTTGCTGCCGTGTCCATAAACTTACATATCATTCAAAACATACCAATATCAGTTATATCACAACAACCCTAACCCTATTTATACCTATACAAAAATGGACTTTTTATACATTTGGCCCTAGTCAAAACCCAATAAAGCCTTATAACATCCTCCAAGCCCGCGTGTTCGACCAAAAAATGAAATGTACGGTTTGTTTTTATCAATTGTACACCTAGTTGATCAAATTACGAAACTCACTGAAATTCATCAATAATTAGAGCGCTTTCAGCGCGCAATGAACAAATCGGATTATAGATTTCACATATCACGCAAGTCTTTTAAGCCAAACTTGACAAAGCTTCGGATGCAAAAAAGCGATAGAATTACTGCATTACCGATAAAGCGTGTGTAAAAACGAGTTATTGCGATAATAGTCATAATATACCGTTAGTAATAAACACTTCATGGGAAAGGTACGTGCAAGGCAGCATTGTCCACATTGTAATCAAAATGTTAGCTACTCTACATATCGACAACACCGAATGCGCTTTTTTGATAATCAAAGAGGGAAGTGGAGAGTGGATAGTTCTAACATCAATGACGTATATGAAGGTACGTATATATGTAGTATATAATTCAGCATTGTTTTTTTATGATGGATTGAAGAAAACCACTTGCCAGTTAGCATACACAATTAACCCAGTATAATACCTTTATAATAATTTATGATGTTCAACTTGCATATTGCATAAACATTCGCATTGACAAACCTTAGCGCTATCAGTAAAATCAGTTTTAGAAACCTTAAACCTATACATAGGTTGTTTGTTTTACTCTGAAGTCAGTTGTGAACAATGATATGCACTCTTGATAAAGTGGGAGTAAAATGAAAATTATGAAATAATGCATGTTTGTTTGGAAAGTTTCATGTCATCAGTGAAATCACCCCTAAATTTCCTTCCTCTATTTTATAGGCGAAGGTTCCGTAAATTTTCCAGTAAGTTCGAAATTTCAAGTACTTTTTGGAGAAGGGGAATCTTCAACATTATGTGAAGATAATGCCCTGCAAGATATTGAGAATGAAGTGGAATTCCAATTCCAAGAGAATTTAGCAGGGACACAACAAAATGACATAGCAGACGACACTAGCAGCAATGATGATAGCAAATCTGAGAGTAGCAGCACGGATGAAGAGATCTGGGAGGCTGAAGATGTACCAGATACAACTGAAAACAGGGAAGACAACGCGCCCGAAGAAAAATCATGTGCCCTGCCTACAACGTCAATAATTGGGGCCATGTCCCTTTTTCTATTGTTATGGCAAGCTTCGTTTGGCATTTCTGGGTCAGCAATCGTTGTGCTTCTGAAATTCTTAAAAAGCCTGATTGGTATTCTCGCTGATGTAAGTGGTTCAGAAATTATAAAGAATATTGCGGAATCATTTCCAGTAAGTTTGGCAACTGTTCGCGCTTTAGTTGGGGCTAGCACTGATGACTTCACTGTCTACACTGCCTGTCCAAAATGTTACACATTGTACTCCAAAGAACATTGTACAAAAACGTTGCCCGATGGTCGTGTAGTTAGCAACTCCTGTGCGCATGTACAGTGGCCAAATCACCCACAGATACGGAAACGTGATGCATGCGGAGAAAAATTAATGAAGAAAGTGAGAGGAAAGACTGGAAATGTTTTTTGGTATCCTCGAAAAGTCTACGTGTACCGAAGCCTGTTCAGCTCGCTAAAAAAGTTTATATTTCGAAAGAACTTTTTCGAAATATGTAATCAATGGAGGCAGACTGAAAATGATGTTGAATTAGAAGAAATGTGTGACATTCATGACGGCAAAGTTTGGAAGGACTTTCAGACCTTTGAAGAACAACCTTTTCTAAAAGATCGGAACAACCTCGCATTAATCATGAATGTTGACTGGTTTAACCCATTCAAGCATGCACCAGGATCTGTAGGAGCTATTTACTGTGTTTTCGCAAATTTGCCGCGACAAGAAAGATACAAGAGAGAAAATGTAGTGTTACTCGGTCTCATTGAAGGTGAACCCAAACACGATTTAAATTCCATTCTCAAGCCAGCCGTTGACGAACTTTTGACGCTTTGGAAAGGACATATGTTTCACCAAGGCTGGAGATGCTTTTTTGTACGTGTCGCCTTCTATGTATTGCCTGCGATGTTCCGGCAGCAAGAAAAGTTGCGGGGTTTATGGCACATAACGCTACCCGTGGTTGCTCGAGGTGCCTAAAAGAGTTCCCTGTAAAACACTTCGGTGCAAAACCAAATTATTCGGGCTTTGAAAGAAATTCCTGGCCAAAACGGGACTCAAGATCTCATCGCAAAAATGCGAAAAAAACTTTGAAATGTACGTCATCCAGTCAACGAAAGAAACTTGAAAGCTCTCTTGGTAGTCGATACACTGAACTATTAAGACTACCGTACTATGATGGTGTACGATTTGTCGTGATAGATCCTATGCATAACTTGCTATTAGGCACAGCAAAATGTCTATTCCATAAATGGGTAGATTTAGGACTGTTAAAGCAGGATGATCTGAAAAAGATCCAAGTCCACATTGATGAAATCGTTGTCCCTCCAGATTTAGGACGAATTCCAAACAAAATAGAATCTGGTTCCTCTGGGATGACTGCTGACCAGTGGAAGAATTGGACATTGGTGTATTCACCTTACATCTTGTCCACTTTTCTGCCTAAAGCCCATTATGAGTGTTGGATGCTTTTTGTTTCTGCTTGTCGGCTGATGTGCGCAAGAACGATAAATCGAAGTGAATTAAAACAAGCGGATCAGAATTTACTTGCATTTTGTAACAAGGCCGAAAGCCTCTATTCCGAGGAGTTTGTGACCCCAAACATGCATCTACATGGACACCTCGCGCAATGTATTGAGGATTACGGTCCAGTTTATGCTTTTTGGTGCTTTTCTTTCGAAAGGTATAACGGAATTCTTGGTGGATACCAGCATAACAACAAGGCGGTTCCAGTCCAAATGATGAAAAAGTTTTTAGAAGAAGACTATCTTTCGTCAGCATCAACCACCCAAGAATATCCGATGTTCTTGAAGCACTTTGCAAACTTGGTTAGCAGTGAAAATGAAAAGCTTTCAGGGACATTAAAACAGGTTTTTAGCGCAGGTTTCCAAACGAGATGCCACATAAGCCAGGTTCATCCACGCGACGTCTCGTGGGAAGAAGATAACGCAACTCAGGAACCTATTCCGCCATTTAAAACCAAAGTCTTAGACGAAGAGGATTGCGAGGACCTAAAGAATATGTACAAGTCTATTTTACCCGTAAACGAAGAAACTGACGAGATTTATGTGTCTTCCAGTTATCTGCAAGTGGAAAGAATGAAAATATATGGTGAAATTTACGACTCATCATGCTGTAAATCACCAAGAGCTAACCACGTCACGGCGTCTTGGTTTCATGATAACAATATAGCTCTTTGTAGTGACCCACATTTCCGGCCAGCTATAGTAAGGTTCTTCCTAAAGCACACTCTTGAATTTAATCGCGCCAATGGTGAGAAAAAACAAGAAACGTATCTTCTGGCATGTGTTTCATGGTTTAAGGACCACGAAAAAAAAAACTATTTCAAGTCGCCATTGGAAGTATGGTGTAGAGATATGTTTGAAGATTCGGGTCCAGCATCATTTTTACCTGTTGGACGAATTTTTGGAAGATTCTGTCCTGTTCAAGGTAAAGTTCCACTCCTCGGAAACCAACTCGAGAATGTTTTAATTGTTAATCCTTTACAACAGAAGTGGGCTGCAGAATAGTAAGGAACAGAACTCATAGAATAATAATACTAGAATAGTGGCAAAAAATAGCATTACCCGGCATTGCTTGGTGGAAACATTGTATTAAAGAACTCGCAAACCTGATTATCGGTGATTAATAATTTTTCAATAACACCTTGAAAACAATTAACATCAAATGTAGTGAAACAACTGCTTAATATAGACAAAAAAAACTCTAGGATGTTTTGATCTAAAAGGGTCGACTTAAATCGAAACGTAGATATATATTTTTCGGTTTATTTTGTTATATTTGATGCGAATTTTTTATCGCTTTCATACTGCTATGTCTGTTTTCATTTGTACACATGAAAGATGAAATGTTCCATGAAAATAGTATTCAAGCAAAATGTACACGAATCTGCATATTGCAGGAATAAAAACATTTCTTGTTTTAAAGCTCTGTTTACACGACGATTTAAAATGGGTACCCATTTTATTAGTGTCCGGCCTTTGTTTTGGTAGTCTGGACACTAATAATATTAATTCGACACGGATACCCATTTTAG